ATCGATAAATAAATCGCGGCTTTAACGGGCCAATATTTTGTCATACTCTAACGACACTGCTCGCAATTTACCTCGAAATAATGCAGAAACGCTATTACATTTTCCACATTAAATCCTTTTTTCTTTCTCTTTCTTTCTTTTTATACATAATCCTGTCGCGAAACGAATCGAACATCGTTTCGAAACAGATTGCATCTTTTATTCTTTAATTGAATATAAGATTTCCCCCTCGAAAATAATTCTCGAAACGATTCAAAGAAAATTTCGACAATTGATAGAGAGAAGGGAAAAAAGGAAAGGACGAATAACTAACGGTTTGAGAGAAAAATCCGATCCCAAAATTAGACGAACCCTCCACGACAATGAAACGTGACACCCACCAAAATCACCCTACGAAACGATTCTCCTTTTCCTCCTTCCCTGAGACTCTCCCATCTCTCCCTGGCCACTCGACACGTTTGCGTACCAGTGTGACAGCAAATAAATGTCTCGGTATCCGGTATACACGGTTCTACCTTCCACGCCAAGAAGGTCGAACGTGGCGCGTTTCGTTCGAAGAGTTCGAAGCGTATCCGCGCCGCTGGAGCGAGCAGCCACCGAGACAGCGTGAAGAGGGAAGCGAGGAAAGGGAAGTGAAGGGGGAGGAGGAGGAGGAGGGTCCTCGCTTCGTTCGACGGGATGGGAATAAGGAGTTTATTTTCGGTGGCCATATGCGCGGTTTATTTCGACAATCCGTGGCGGTCACCCTCCAAATAGAGATAGAGCCCTCCTTCCTCGGTTCAAACCGTATTTTTCGATGCCTTTCCTCCCTTTTTTTTTTCTTCTTTTTCTTTTTCCTTCTCGTGTCATCCTCCACACGCGAGTCGATCCCCGGATAAAAAGAATGACGGCACGCAGACCCGTGACATTAATTGCTACCTGCCTACCTGTCTGAATTATCGCGTTATCGTAGCGTTTAAGGCTCGTCCCTCTCTCGTTATCCGTCCCACCGCTTTCGTGGGATTTCGTATGCAGTTTTGCTAATGATCAGCGTGTACGACCGCCTCATTAGTTCTCGATCACGATTATCACCGCCGTTTCTCCTTATTATTTTCCTCGACGAATCAACCTGTGCGCGCACAAAGCTCGCCTTAAACCTTTGAACTCTTTTCACCAGATACCATCTTCTGCTCGATTTTAAAGCGTTTTTAAAGCACATATGATATATATACATCATTACATACGACGAGAGACTAATAGCCGCGTGTAATTAACCATTTCTTCTCGCTGGGAGACTGGATGAAAAAAAAAAAAAGAAAAAAAACTTTCGCTTCGTTCGAGATACCGTTATCGGCGGAACGAAGCGTGGCACCGGGACAGAGAGGAGGCTGTTTCTGAAGGCAGCAGTCACTTGCTCGCCGCGTAGGGACCGCGTGTTTTGACCGTGTCCGCTCCTCCTCTAGAAATAGCGTATAGTCAGGCCGACGTGAGACTCGGCTTATTCTTGACCCATCGGCTAAGTATAGATCGCGACAGCTCGAAAGAAAGAAGGCAACCAGAAGAAGGGGGGAGAGGGGCGGGGGGACGCGTACGTGTTTTCTGCTTTTGCTGCCGGGGGGTGCCGGGGGGTGGAGAGAGAGGCCGGGGGAGGAGGATCATCCGCGTCTTCCGATGTTCCAACGTTGATGGAGCGAGAAACGGCGTAAACGTATAATTGGCTGCACTTAAATCTCTATAACGCGGCAGTAAAAATGCAGGGCGCGCCGCGTAAATCAACACGAGGACGATATGGATCCTCTCTCCCTCCCCTCCTCCATTTCTCTCCTCTTCTCCCTCCCAACTCCTGCCCCTCGTTGCTCGTAAACGCGTCGCGGAGGACGGAAACAAGCGTGCACGCGTGCAATGCGAACAATTTTCGCGACTTTCCCCACCATGGAATTTATCGCCACGTATATATCTCGTTTCGACTCTCGTCTCTCGCCGAGTTTAATCTCTTCGTTCCTCGGATAGGGGAACACTTGTTACCACACCGTCCGACGAGATCACGATTATTCTTCTCGATGATCGAAGAATATTTGAATATCCATCCGTCGGGAAATTGGAGATTAATCTTTTAACATATATTAAAAGATTTTAACAACGAAGAAAAATGTATTTGGAAGTCGAATATTGTAATTCCCCCGCAATTATCTTCGTATAATTTAGTCAAGGAAGAATAATTTCAGAATTCGTTCTCAAGAGAAAGGTTGTCGGTATCTCGTTTCGTCGTCTTCCGGTTTCTTGCCCCTCAGTTGAAGTAGCTTCGTTTTTCGATGGGATTAGTGTCTCTCTCTCTCTCTCTCTCATTCGGGGAAATGAGAAATTCCTGACGAGCATGAGCCGGAGCTTCTTCGACCGATACGTCAGGGCATGGTAACGGCGGCGTACGATCGGCCACGCTACATTAACTCGATTCACCGAGTAAATTAACTGCAATCAGAGGGACGGTCCGCTGGCCGTTCCGTTATTCCGCTAGCCGACCGTTCCGCGCGCCTCTAGACCGCTCTATTCTGCCTCCGCCTGCCATTATGGGCCGTGGAACAACGCTGGTCGCAGCGGAGAAGAAGGACCTAACGTCGTTTTTTGCGACCACGAGGACCGCAAACACCCTTCTCTCTCTCTCTCTCTCTCTCTCTCTCTCTCTCTCTCTCTCTCTCTTTTGTTTATTTCGACGAAAACAAGCATTTCTCCTCGATCGAGAGAGAGAAACGGATGACGCCGAGACTTCTGGCTCCGAACCGTGATCACGCTCGAGGCGATGACGTGATTTCTTGATCGTTATTGCTCGACTGTACGAGCTTACTCTTCCCATTCTACCTTCGCATCGCGCCGATTCATCGCGTGCCGTGATTTCTCGATCCTCGAAGAAGAGGATTGCCAATCCATAGTCCAAGAAGGATGGATTTAACGTTCAAGAGGGGAGAAAAATTGCAGATATTTGAAATGTACACCGAATACGATAGAAAAAATAGAGCCAGGAAAACAATCGAAACAAGTCTTCCGTCTGACCATCACGGATCGAAAGCCGCGGGACGTTTAAAAAAAACGCAAAGAAAAAGAAAAAAAAAAAAAAAAAAAGAAAAAAGAATCCCCCGTCATCCTTAATTGAACATTCCAGCGCAACCCCTCGTCCATTATTCCGGTCGGTGTGGCGTATCCCGCCACCGTCAGATCGGGAATCTCGTCGGGAATCGAAATCGAATGGCAGGTGGTCGAATGGCGAGGCTTGATCGAAGTCGATCGCTTTTCCCTTCCCAGATTTCTCCCTATCCCTATCCCACGAAATCGGCGAGGAGGCAGCCACGATTTCCATCGATCTCCCGCCGCCTCCTCTCTCCTTGTACTATCGGACGTACAAATTTTTCGTCGTCCCCTCCCCCTTCCCGCCGTACGAATTCAAAGTTAATCTCGGCCACGGGGCCGCCTCCTCTCGAGAGGGGTGGGTCGGCGCCCCCGGGCGACCTGTCATCGTGAAACCCATGGGAGCTCACCCATGATCTCTCTGTTACGATAGAACCTTGGGAACCGGAGCCTTGGGCACCACGATAAGGCTCGGTCATTTATAATCCGTCCGCGTAAGTAGCCTGTTCTCCTTCCGCGGCAATAGAGAGAGAATGAGACAGAGAGAGGGGGGGAAAGGTATAAAGGGAACTCTTCCTCGAACTTCCGCCGGTTGAAAACGAGCAGATCGGCCGTTACGGCACGCCAGGTGAATTTCGATTCGTCGAGATTGCGAGTCGTTCGATTCGACTTCCGCGTGCTATTTTTAGATACGCGGTTTAAATATGGATCTAACGCCTGATCGGGAAGGTTTCGTTCTTACTCTCTACTTTGGAGGAAGCAAATAATTTACGGAATTAATTACGAAATTGAATGCGATTCGAATAATTCTTATGCTTCGAATGATCGTTGAAATATTGTCCATGTCTACGTTCACGTGCGAGTCTCAACGAGTCTCTGATCAGAGAGAGTTTATACTTGCTCCTTGAGAAAATGAATGGAAATTGTGATATGCTGTTGCAATATTCTTCTATTGAAGAAACAGAAAAGACGAGATTATTCAGAAATGTGTAACGTGATCATAGTCTATCTAATTCGCCGTTCCTTTCTTATAAACTATTTAATTTACGATTATGTTTAATATTCGGATTTATTTAACAAAATTTAACGCGATGACTGAAATGTTTGGCAAAAAAAAAAAAAAAATATATCCCTTCCTCCGTCAGGCGTCAATTTCACGCCAGCCGATTTTCGACGAGAGTTCATCATCAGCTCCGGTTCTTAATTAATGCGAAGAATGGTTCTGACGGAAAAAAAGAGAGAAGTGAAGTGAGGGGGGGAGGCACGTTTAGTCAGGGAGAAATACCTGGAAATGGCTCCGGCTCCCGATAATTTATAAAAATGATATTTGCCTCGGGAAAGCGTGACCCGTAAGCCGTCTTAATATCTCTCATTACCGTCCCGCTTCTCCTAGGTCCCCGGTGACCGTGCAATTAAAAAGCTAAGATTGATAAATGACGGGGAATTAATGCGGCCAAGGGGGATGAAAGCGAGGGGGATGGGAGCTGGGCTGGGATCGGGGCTGGAAACGTTTAGGGGGGGTGCCGGCGAAAGAGGGACAGGGTGATTGCGGGTGGCTTAATGGTGTTTGTATGCATGGGAACCGATCTATAGGGGGGCAGAGGGGGGATGAGGCGGTTATCGTCCTTCGGTCTGTTTCGCGCCCGAAAATCGGGACGTGGTTTAAAGTGCTCGAAATATCTCACCCTCGATAATAATGCATCCCGATGATTCGAAAGGGGGCGAGGGGGGACACGCACGTTGTGATTTATCGTTTTTATCCCCTCTTCTTTTCTTTTTTCTCTCCATCTGTTTCAAACAGTACATATATATATATATATATATATCAAGTTTATTCTTTTCGAGCTTTGGTTTAGAATTTAGCAGAAGGTTAATTTTGAGATTTGATTTTGATTTCGCAGGTGACGCGAGTAACGCGAGTATCGGCAGTGGCGAGGGTACCGGCGAGGAAGACGACGACTCGTCGGGTAAGAAGAACCAGAAGAAGAGGGGTATCTTCCCCAAAGTGGCGACCAACATCCTCAGGGCGTGGCTGTTTCAACACCTCACGGTAAGTGTACATTTTCACGAGCGTCTTTCGTCACTCGTGTCTCTCGATCCCGACGACAGTCCACGAGTCCGTTTATTCCGAAACGATCGCTTTTGCGCTCCTCGAACGAGGTGCGTCTTTTTTCTTATTTTACAAAGAAATCGTTACGAATACGAATACGAATATACGAAGGGGCAAACGATAGGAAAATTCGTCGAGTTCCTAATCCTAAATATTTGGCAACGATTATTCACTTATCAAGGCCCGCTTAAAACCCGGGGAGCGAAGATAAACGACGCGACGAAACGGCGTGGCAAAAAGAAACATTTCCTAAATTGCTTTTACCCCGGCGTCGGAGTTAAGCTCGAGGAACGAAGGGAAAAAGAAAGCGGAGGCGAAGATGGAAAAACGCGTTCGGAGGGACGTACTAATCTCCTAATGCCAAGATAAGGAGCGGTGGCCGCAGCTATGGGTGCCTCTCCTCCCTCTTTGTAACCCTGCTGCTGTCCCCGACTCTCCTTGCCCGTCTAATGATTCACGAGTAATCTGACCCGTAAAAAGCGCAACGCGATTAAAGGGAGAGGACTTGGAAGGGAGAAGAATGTAGCGCATTTTTGTTCTCGTTCGTTATCTTTCTAAAAAAAAAAAAAAAAAAAAAAAAAANAAAAAAGAAACCCAAAAGCCTACTAACCTAACTAACATCTTCCAGTACAAAATTTAACAAATTTTAACACGGTCGTCATTTTCGACAGTCGATTCATCCAACAGATCCAACGCACAATCGAGAGAATCACCCCGTACATTGTCCCTCGCACTCACCTCGGACACCCCATAGATTTCGAGTGTGATCAGGTTACCTTGCGAGAGCGGTAATCATATTGCAGCTCGGTTAATGCCATTACCGCACGAGGAGGGGAGGATCTGGGAGGGGGGAAGGAGGGGGGATCGGCAGCCACCCTGGAAACCACCCCGCAACCAGCGCGCCGCCCCCGTCTCCCCGCTCATCCGCTTTCTCCACGCTTCTCCACCGCCGGCTTCGGCAAACCCCCTTCCCTCTCCACCCCCCAACAACGTGTATTGGATATGACGTCGGGGATAGTGGGTTCATGGTTTAATGCATATACGCTGTTTGCGCGATGACGATATCGCGCTCGTGAAAAGACGAGCTTTGGGCGCACCCGATAGATAGAGCGGCGACGAGCGGCTCTTCCTCTTCCTCTTGCTGGTTAATCGCGTTCTCCTCCTCGCGGTTAACGCCGCGACGCTTGAAAGGATTTTAATGTAACTCGAGGATACGTGTCCCCGTGTTGATATCGGTGTTCGGTGATATCGGCTCGATTTGATCCCCTGTCCGATCTTCGATCGCGAAATTTTATTATCATCGCGCTCATCATCTACGTCGGGATATGATTATCGATAAGGACGATAAGTACGAGCGGAGGCGCGAGTGGCGATCCAAAATCTTGTTATCGTATTATTTGGAATGGAAATGTTGAATATAGGTTGTAGTGTGTGCAATTTAGAAAGGAGAGTTAATTGTAACAGTTGGAAATGAGAGTAATTAGTTTAGAATGGGGGAGGAACGAACGAATAGAACGAATAGAGCAAATATCGAATATTAAAATTTATACATTCTCCTCGATTATTTTTGTCGAATCGAAATTCCTTTTGAAAGGAGTTTTAGATCTATCCAGATCTTTACTAGATCATGTATTATTATCGGGTGTAAAAAAATTTCGGTATTCGGTTTATGTTTCGATTATAGACGAAGCGTATCAAAGAGATAGGTATTCTTTGGTAAAATTGGTGACGGAGGATCGTGCTGTTACGAGGTATTCATTGCCAGAAATTAAAACGGTTTTTCGTGACGGTCGCCCCGCTCAGACATTCGTCTCAGCGTTATTACGAGCGATTAAGCGAGACTATACCGCGAACCAGAATTCATTCGGCGCGGTGGATACATATTACGGCTTAAAAGAGTAACTGACTCGAGCCAAGTGTGTATTCACTCGAGTGCCAGCTCTCTTAAAGACCTCCTTCCGACATCCCCCTTTTTCCACCAAACGAATTACGGCCTCAACAGTCTTGATTTAGCGTCCTAATCTTTCTCTCGCGATGACTTACGGCCCCACCAACAAGGGCTAACGTTTTCCCCCTTTCCACCCCGCGGGACCGTTTCGCCTGTAATTATCGCGGAACAGATGTCTGAAACGGGTGTGGCTCAATCACGATGCAACCAGCTTCTCGCCGATTTCCATCATTCCCTTATATTTTTATTCGAAATTATTCCATATTTTCGAATGCCTAAACGAAGAGTATATATACGAGAGAAGTATCTTTAAAAAATTCATTTTATACGTAATTCGTTAAGAAACTTCTTAAGAGATATTTTTCAATAATTTCTTCCACATCTTCTGTAATTCGTTAATCTACGTATAACTTCGGGTATTCGAATAACTCGAGAAGAAGAGAAAAAGAACCAGTTAATAAACGTCTCTCACGATATGATATACCAGCCGTGCTCTCTGCACGGTATTCGTCTCCTTTGATCGAACGTCGGCCGAAAACGCAGTCGCCTAACTTTTCCCCTTTTTCTCTTCATCTACGACACGCTTTTTATCCTCTCTATGCAAAACTATGTATGTGGCCCGCGTACCGTCCTATCTCACCCTTCACCTCTCGCTTCTTTTCTTTCGGCGCACGTCAATGCGGAACGCGAGTCGGGGATTGGCGTTGGCTCTCTCGAACGAGGACAGGTTATTGGCGAGCACCGACGAATTCCTTGGCGCGGGTCGCCGCGATTTCGAAATGTTTCGGGGTGAAACGGCAGTGGTCGGTGGCCGGCTAAGATCTGGAATTCCCGATGGAAACGATGGATCCCTTTTCGCTTTCACGGTATGATAAATTTATACCATCGCGAACGACTTCTATATATTCTATATATTCAACTTTTCTTGATTTATCATATCCCAGTCTAACGCGATTCATCGTCTCGATCGTATTCGAACTCGACACGTTTGATAATCGACATATCCATAATCGATGATAATTAATGTTTCTTACTTTCTGAAGAGATAGAACGAAGTGGTATGCTATGCGTCTGTGCGCTCATGTCTCCTGATTTCGTATACAGCGGCCGAGAAATTGCTCGAAACCTCTTGCGAAACGTGAAAAGTTTACCGAGAAAATCGGTGAAAGTCGGTTTCGGGAAAATAGAGTCCGCAGCGCAAAGAAACGAGAATGGTGATTTATCCGTCCCCCCGGAAGAAGAAAATGAACAATTTAGACGTCTGTAAAGGTGGGTAGAAATGGACGGACGTTAATTCGATACAAGGATGTTGAAACGGCGGAGGACGTCGTAACGACGTCAGAGTAGCGAATCGTTCCGGTTGTTCCGGGACGACGAGAGAGGTCGTGAGGCGACGTCTTTCTCCGTTGTTCGCCAGTTCTCGCCGCTTTCGCTCCTTCTCCCTCTCCCTCTCTCCCTCTCCCTCTCCCTCTCCCTCCTTGACTGTCATTTTGAAAGCCATCCCGACGGCCGCCCCTCACCGGCCCGTCCGTACGTCTGTCCGACCAGCCAGCGTACCAACCGACCGACCGACCGACCGACCAACCAACCAACCAACCAACCAACCAACCAACTCTGCGACCCTCCCCAAGTTTAATTAGACGGAAGAGGAGCATACATCATGGTCGACTCCGTGTCCCGACCTTCCACGCCAGCCAACTTGGGCTTTCCAGAATTGTGGCCACCGACCTACTACGCCACTACTCTCCTCCTCTCTTCTCCCGTTTTCCTTCCTTCGCCACACCGTTGCTCCGGGACAACACGATGTTTCAAACGGCTCCACTCTTCCCCGGAATTGTCCTCCTTTTAGGAACCCGTCCCTGCCCTCCACGTCTACGCGCGTCGCGTTGCAAATTATTCTTCCAGACGAGGACGCAGCCAGTTCTAATTCTCCATTCCTCGATATCGGATCAGGATATCTTCGAATTTTCTCCCCCTCTTCTCCCTCCATCGTATCGAGGCAGCGAAGATTTCGAGGGAAGGATGGAAATTCATTACAGAAAGTTTGCTACGAGTAGCGGGTAACAATCGCGCGTGGCGATAATGCGGAAGCGGAGATGGGAAAAGAAGAGAGAGATCGAAGATGGAGTCGACACATACACACATATATATATATATATATATATATATATAATCCATTTTAATTTACTCGGAAGATATATCCGTCTAGCTTGCAGTTTCCCGCGACCTCTCTTTCCCTCTCCTCCATTTTCTACCTCCGCCTTTCTACGTCCGCCGGTTCCACGATCCTTCTTCCTTCTCGGCGTCGCCCTTATCCCTAGACACCGCCAGAGGAGCGCCTTCTTATATCAATGGAAGCATTTCGCGAAATTACATTTGCCAGTTCCGCGCTCTCCTCGCCGTTTCACGTATCGAGTGGCGCCTCGAAATCTCCTCTCTCCTACCTTACCAAAGTCAAATAAATTTCTTCGGGAACGAGGTTTCCCAGTTTTCGTGCTCCTTCTCCCGCCCGGTCTATGAATGTTTGAACGGGGAGGAATGTTTCTCGGGAGGGATGAAAAATGCTCGTTTAATCCCGCACGATTAATTCCAACGTTCAGCCTCGTTTCGAGTCGAAATTTGAGAGAAAGATAAATTCGATCGGCACGTATACACATATACGTGTATGTATATATAGAAAGAGAGGGAGAAACGAAAACGCGGTGATTCTTATTCCGTGTTTCGTGTTGTAACACGAGAACGGAGCATAGTCGTGGCAATCAATAAGCCATCTAAGGCGGGTAATGCTGCCTACGGTACAAACCGCAAACCGGCAATGCCATTATCCGCGCATGCACACGTACACACGTGTGCCTCCATACCGGAGGCCACAAGCTGAGAGATGCAGTTTCATCAAGATCGATAATGAACCGCGTTTCATTTAGCGTATTGCTCGCTGCCATTCCAATATATCTTGCCGCGATCTTTAATTCATCCGTATCGCGCGGGGCGA